TAATATTTTCTGTTAACAGTCAATCGACAGCTGTAAAATGCCTGTGATGAAAATAGAAAAAGTCTTGCACATGCACAGTCATTACGCATGTCTCATATCGCAGTCATTTCATGGCTGTTGATTGACTGTTGACAGAAAAAGTTAGTTTTCGGAGACTTTCAGAAGTATGCTAAAGCGATCCGTAGCGTTTCTTAATCTAAATATCTTTTAATTTGAAAATATAACGCAAGAATTCTTAACGTGTCATTTCTCACTTCTAACGTCATGATTCCAACATGGCTGCATTGAGTACCCAGAAGCTATGTACAAAAATTTATTATAATTTACATTACCGTCCAAGATGCGAAAGCACTTAACAAAACTTTAGTACTGTTTACACTACATAATTTTTAATTTTTAATAAAAAAATATATACATTGCATACTTATACATATGTATAATAAAAGTGTCAATTTTTACATAAATTTGTTTATACAGCTTATATATTATCGTATTTATAATAATCTTAAGTGTTTTTATCATTTTAGTTACTTAAAACATCATATTCCGTTTATAATTTATTAACACGTGTACAAGAGTAATTCAAATTGAAGGATAAGTAAAGCATGTTTTCAATTAAGCTGCATATAATAATTATAAAAGAATTGTAATAAGATGATTGTTATTAATACTTAATGTTAATTTTATTCATGTGCAATGTTGTAAAAATATATGTACATGTATATGATGTTATCTTTTATACCCAAAGTATTTTTATATATACTCCCGAAGGAACATGTAAGGGTTACAAATTTTAAGTTTAATTTACTTACAAAGTTTTTCTACTTTAACATGTATAAATTTTCTATCTATATGTATATTATCATAAACGAAGGTAAGATATATTAATAAATACATATATATTACCTGTGATAAAGATCTATACATATATATAATACCTCATGTAAAGTGTTCACATATCACATTTATTACAATATCTTTATACAGAGTGATTAAAAGAATTATAAAAAGAATAATATGTTAAAGAAAACATCACGAAAAGAATCATATCATTACGATAAGAAAAATATGACAATATACTAAAATATAATGAAAATATAAGTTAGACAAATTTACGTATTATTAAATCGTTAAATCGTTTTGTTCGTTTCACTACAGTCTTACAAATGTATACCTGTAATGTGACTCTTTTCTCTGATTGTGTTGCGTGTAGGAATCAATACTAAAATACCAGAACCCTTTTCTTCTAAGCACAGAAGATAATATATAATGAAAGATGTTATCAAGAGATTATATTAAGAAATGTACTTTACCGAGGTTCGCTTCTCATAAATTATTGACAAATCTTGGAAATGTTTCCTCTTCTTTCTACTACGTTATAATTTTGTTCTCTACGTGAGGAAATACTGCATTAAAGACAATTATTACTATTTTAGTACAATGAGGAGATATTAAATATGCAAAGGTAAGTAGGAAAATGTCGATGAAAAACATTCTTACCACTGAGAAGTGGAATCATAAGTCTATAGACCTTCTACTGTGCACTTTCCTGAAATTATGTTACTCCATCTTACTTCTCGTATAATAAAGATTCTGTCAGGCTAAAGTTCTTATCTCGAGAGCAATGTATATTGACCGAACATTTCTATAATTACTAACAAAGTTAACAACGCAATATATAACGTTGTACAACCAGTTCTGTTGTACGTACTTTTTCGTTTCTTTTCTTTTCTTATATAATTAGTATAGTATAATATTCTGATATGATGCATACTCTGAGATTAGCATATACAATTGTTATGATATCTGGATGTTTTCGACCGCAATCGTGGACGTCTTTATTTAAACGAACAGTTTATAATATCTACAGATTATACGTAATTACTCTGTTATACTCGTTCACAATATTGCAAATTATGGACATTATCCTATTCGTCGACAATATTAATGACTTCACAGAAAATGTGAATATGTCGTTAACTGTATTAGCATCATGCTATAAAATATTTATCATGAGTATAAATTATGAGAACATTATAGTGTTAATTAACTATCTTACTGAGGAGCCATTTAAACCATTAGATTCGGATGAGATAAAAATTCAACAACAATACGATAGAATGATACGGTAAATATTTCTTAATTAAGTGATTTTCAATCTTTTATTTAACAGTTCTTCACGAAGTACTTGTTTTATTTATAATATTTTTTATACAGATAAAAACATGTTTTTAATGTATTTAAAATTTAATTCCATTCCAAAAGTTAAGTTTTAGAAAAACTGAAAATACAAACATGTAAATAATTTTATAACGAATTATATTTTTTAATCTACAATAAAATAAGATTTAATTAGTAGTATTAATTAAATAACAACATTTTATGAAAAATACAATTTCCTTAAGCATTTTATAGTTTTAATATTATAGTTAATTTTATTAGTTTATGTTAGAAATAATATTGATATAACTCTCACTTCCTAGGAACAATACATTACGATATATAATTTTGATCTTGACAACAAGCGTATTCGTCGTTTTGTCATCGGTGTTCACTGACTTTAGGTACAAAAGGCTAAAGTATAGAGAATGGATACCATACGATTATTCATCTTATATGATATTTTGTATAACGTATGTTCAACAATTATTAAGCGGCGGTTATGGCGCGATTATAAATGTCGCAATAGATAGCCTTATGTTCGGGTTCTTAATGCATATATGTTGCCAAATTGAGATTTTGGAATATCGCCTGAAGAAAGTTTCAAGCAATGAACTTACTGTGGGGTACTGCGTGCGGCATCATAATCGAATTTTTGAGTTAGTTATCATTTAACATTAAAAAGTTATACATTATTTAATATTGCTATTATATGTATGTATTATTTAGCAAAACCATGATAGAAATCATACTGTTTCAGTCTCATATTTTACGAATGTGAAAAGATCTATTTTATACTAACAATAAATCATCAAAATAATTAGATTAGACTTTACCTTATACATTTGATAAATTGTCTATATTATTGCTGACTTTTATCACAATGGCTATATTTTTCATTAATGTATGTATAAGTTGTTAATTTAAACTGCATAGGTATATCTAATAAGATCTTTAGCTATTCGTAATAATATGTTAAGTAATAATGAAATTTATCTATTAGTTACGACAGCATGAACATTATTAATGTTATGTATAAATATATATCACAGTGCTCTAAAACAAAAAATTTTATTGCAGGTATGCGCAAATAGTGAATATAAGATTTGAAAAAATAGTTGGATTTCAGTTTATGGCAAGTACGACGGTAATTTGTTGCAATTTGTATCAGTTGAGCCAATCATCATTGAATGTAAACAGTATTGGAATATTTGGATTTATATGTTGCATGTTAGCAGAAATATTTATTTATTGTTGGTTCGGACAAAAAATTAAATCGAAGGTATATCTACTTAAAAGATATGTCTAGTTTTTCTTCATTTCAGAATGCTTCACTGTCATGTTACGCATAACAATCATATTAAATCATGCGCATTATACAATAATTGCATTCTAAATAAATATATTATAAATGATAACATGTTGTATAGAAAAGTATTATTATTGAACAGTTTACTACTTGTTTTGTACATTAATTTATAGAGTATACAATTAACGGATAGCATTTTCCAAATTAAATGGCCAATGCTGAGTATCAGCGTCAAAAGAAATCTTCTAATAATTATGCAACGTGCGTTAGTACCTATTGAATTTTCTGTCGCACATATCATCAATATGAATTTGGACTCTTTCGTGGCAGTTAGTATAATAAATTTTGTATTATGTAATATCAATTATCGACTTGGAATGACATATCACTTGGATCTTAACTATTTTCTTATTATTTTAGCTTCTCAAGACTTCGTACTCTGTTTATAATTTATTAATACGAGTACATGATAAGTAATTCAAATATAATGTGATCTGTTTTGCAATATAGTTAAATATATATATATCTGTAATCAAAATGCAATAAAAAATCAATTGTTGTATTGATAGCACATTTAGTGAGTAACTATTCGGAAGTTTTTATATCCACATTTTATGTTTATTAATAATAAGTCCTTATTAATGTTATTTTAAATACAATATATGCGATAAAAAGTATTATTAATTAAACACACAATTTATTAATAAGGTTATTGATATGTATAAAAATTATATTATTTGTATACCTATTATTTTAATATTTTCTTATAATTATTATAAAAGGAAACAAAATTTTGATATATTTATTATACTTTTCTGTCACATTTTTTTATTCTTGGGAAGTGAATATGAGAAGGAATCAAGTTAAACAATTCAAACATTGATGCTATAAAAAAACCAAATTGTGTTACGTAAGTATGTATGTACATAGGTACTTGTTTGACAGTATACATAGATGCATATATGACAGGTGTAAGGAATTTTATTTTAACTTGTTTTTTTAATTACTGTTAACAGTACATTTTAAACAATTCGCATTATAATATTTAGTATTTTCTGCTTTCACTTATATTTGGCATGAGAAGTTGTAAAAACGTAAAATAGATTCTACAGTAATGTTCAAATGCCAAGTTATACATATATGTATACTATAACAACATGGAACATAATATTATACAATAAACAAATAAACATGCAATATCATTTCATAAAAGTGAAAAATGGATTTATATCTCAAGATTCTAAAATATTATGAAGGACATGAAGAATAAAATATTTCATAATCGATATGTAATATACTGTGTTAAAATACAACAAAATTGTTTAAAAAAATGTACTAATTATACTTGAAAGAGATTTGTTCTTCTAAACAAACGTTTTGCCTATTGTCTCGCAATTATCTTTAAGTCAGATTTTCTGTCCTAATCCAGTGATTTATCATTAAACACGAAACAATATCTTTTTATATGCTTAATCAAATATACATATAGCAAATTAATTAAAAAATGTAATAAAACATTATTAAATTAATAATCTGTAAATGAAATATATTTTGTCTTCTTTGTATTTAATTAAATGTATTCAAAATTATATCACAAAAGTCACATACAATATAACAATATCGTATATAATAATACACTGTAGAATTTTCTCGTATTATAACAGGAAATGTGACAGTAACACAGTTTGTAACCAAGTCTATGGATGGTATTAACATTTCATACAGGTGAGTCGCGGTTGCAGCTTAAGTAATATTTGAAGAATTTATTTTCTCGTACTTCTCTATTGTACTACAAAACAATTGCAACTTTGTCAATGATTTTAAATAAAATATTTCATAATAGTCGTGTAACAAAGAAACCTAGCTGTACCAAATATCTTGGAAATAGTTCTCGGTTACTGTTCTATTAACGACAATTTGAAGAATTTATTTTTCTATATACCCGACTGCGTACCTGACTTCTTATTTTATCTCTCGCAATTCTCTCGATGAAAATAACGGTACATTACGCAATTTCGTGACAAAGGTATTATTTCGGAAGAATATCACTTCTCAATTCACGAGAATAATATTTTACAAGAGAAATATTATTGCAAGTCTGTTATTATGATAATAATAGATATTTTATACGAAGAAGGAAGTTGAGCCAAATGTCGTTATCGAAGAGAGACTATAGACATTATGAGATTGTTGTTCTCTTGGAACATTGTTTGATTCATCACACAACGTGCAGCAAAATTTGATTAAAAATTTTTCAGTATTCGACAAAGTTTTTGCAAACAAGTTGATTGAAATTTTTGTAAGTTTAATGTAATAAAAAAAATATACTTCAGATAAATATTAATAATATTACTGTACAATATAGATGTGCTTTGATATATTTTACTCATAACTTTTATAGCAATTATTAAATTTTTATGTTTATATATAATTATTAATATACATAACAGATATGAAGACAACCTGTTAGCAATTATTTACAAAGATAAATGATCAAATATTTTTTAATATAATATTGTAAATATTGTATATGCTGCACATGCAATATGATTAATTGAAATTCTCAGCCTACTAATTATCACTCTATTGTCAATTTATAATTATCAAAATAATCGAAATTTGTAGTAAATAAGTGCATACATTAATCAAAACAGTGTTTGATGTTGGGCAAGTGGATGTTGAGAAGTGATGTTGGGAAGAAAAGCGAAATGCCTGTCATGAAATTAACGCTCACGGTTTTAGCGGTCGCAGGATGCTGGCGACCAATATCGTGGACGTCGCTGATTAGACACATAATGTATAACGCTTATACAGCGTCAATAATTATAATTTTATACACATTTGCAATGACCCAAATTATGGAGCTGATATTTAATGCTGATGACGCTGACGAAATGGGCGATGCCTTATTCAACGCTCTGATTTCGCTTCTGGCGTGTTACAAGGCAATTATTATACGTATAAATCACGATAGTATTATAGCGTTAATTGGTAATCTCGTCGAGAAGCCATTCAAACCAATGGATCTGAACGAAAATATGATTCGAAAGAAGTTCGACAAGAGAATAACGTAAGTTATCTTTATTAACCGAAGTTACTACTAATCCACAAATCGCTCATTTGGTACAGCGGCGTAACTAAAAAAGTATAATTTTTTAATTAGTTACCAAAACAGCACTTTAGATTTTTTAATGAAGCGCTAATGATACTTTTATCTTTCTAGTTACACCAACATTGCATTGAAAATGAGATTACAATATTTTAATAATCAAAAATTATTTTCTGGAAAATTTTGTTTTTTTGCGTTATGCCACTGTTGTAGCAAATAAGCGAAATATACTAATTAAATTGCACTATATATTTTAGATAGAATTTATTTTACAGGACTAATACACTATGTTATTTAATTCTCGTTTTGACAACTGCCTCCTACATGATTTTCTTTTCGTTATTCATGGATTATAAAAACGGAATTCTATTGTACAAAGCATGGTTACCGTTCGATCGCTCAATATCTGCTATATTTTGTCTCGCATACGTTCATCAGATATTAAGTCTGATATTTATTGGTCTTGTTCATCCCACATGCGACAATTTAATTTGTGGATTACTGTTGCATATTTGCTGTCAGATCGAGATTTTAGAATATCGCTTATCCAACATTGCGAATAGTCGAGGAAATCTACGCGACTGTGTACGTCACCACATACATATATTTGAGTAAGTTTTCCCTAATCCTAGAATATTACATGTTTTTTTAAGATAAATATGCTGTTATTGAAATTTCTCCTTTCTTTGACAACAATTAGAAATTTTTTAATTTTTCAATAATATATTTTTTCCCTATAATTTAGTTCCTTTAATCACAATTTAGTTTACTTGTAAAATTCAAATTTATTTGAGTAAGAAATTAATGTCCCACATATATTTCTCGCATTTTTTTATTCATTTTTCTTGAATGTTTATCTTGAAAATATAAAAAGTAAAGAAATATGGAAAACCTTATTGAGAAGCTATAAAAATACTTATTGAACGATAGTAACATAAGATATTTTTCTTGTTCGTATATTAAAGTTGTCCATACAAATTTATCCGTTGACTATATTTAAAAAAAATCAATAGTTGGTTGGAAAGCGTTCTCTATAATTTTAGATACGCTTATATGCTGAACGATAGATTTGCCAAAATAGTTCCTAGTGAGTTTGCAATGATAACGGTGGTAATGTGTTATAATTTAATTCATATGGCTTTTAAATCGTCCAATGCCATTTCTTATATACAGGACATTATGGTTGTGGCTTGCACTATGGCTCCTATTTTTTATTATTGCTGGTTCGGCAATGAAATCAAGCTGAAGGTACTTCCAGCAACGAGTTTATTTCATAGTTATTAATCAATTTATCTGAAAAAATTGCAAAGTTAATGTTACATTTTTTATTACTAAAAGAAGAAAGTATTCACACACAAACACATACGTATACATATACACAGGTACACGCGCGCGTGGACACACATACATATCATCACCATTATACATATATATATACATATATAAAAATATATATACTATGTGTATAAGAGGATAACATGATCCTTTATTTTAACTTTATGTTCAGAGTCTCCAATTATCAGACAGTATTTATAATTTAGAATGGACGATATTTAGTAACAACATAAAGAAAGGTCTCTTAATGATCATGAATCGTGCTACAATTCCAATTGAATTTACTAGTGCAGATATTATGCCGGTGAATCTTGACTCTTTCATAAGGGTTTGTATGAGAAATTAATTTCTTCCATGTAATAAATATGTAATTTGTTTAATAAATTTGTCATTAATTTTATGATTGTTTAGGTTCTTAAGATGTCATATTCACTTTTTAATGTATTAATACATTCGCAGAAATAGTAATGTAGCACAAGGTTAAAAATTGTTATTTATAATAAAAGATCTCTTAGAATTCTTATGAAATATGACAAAATTACCAGTAACTTTGCTATTTTCAATTTACGTGATGCCGATAAAAAGTTAACATTGCCACAATATCTGCAAATGAATTGTTTGACAAATAATGAATGTTTTACAGTAAAATTTCATAAATTCTATGTATCTGGTTATTATTTTTTCCTGCGATTCAACATCCTAGAAACATGAAAAAGACGAAAAATAGAAATTTTTCACTGGCGACATATTTTAAATTAAAAAAGCTATTATTTTGTACTTTAACTATCTGCCAAAATCAAAAGATTTATTTATGGAGGAGTTGTGGCAATATGAAGCATTACATAAATTATAAAATTACAAAGTTACAATCAATTTTGCCAGAAACCATTTTCTATAAGAAATAAACGGAATGCTTTATATCAAATTTATATTACTGACACATCGAGAGTGATAGTAATCAATTTATTAATGACAAATTTTTAAGGAAAAATATTACAAAATTGTCAAGGTATGTTAAATAATAATTAGTAAATTAATCTAGAACCGTGTACATGTGTTATCAAATAAGCCAAATATACACTGCTCAAAAGAAATATGGCATAGAAAAATTTTATGCAAAAATTGGTCAACTTTGACTGACGGTAACTCCGCGAAAAATCATCGTAAAATTATGTTCTTTTTTTTAAATTAAAGCTTGAAATCTCTACTTTAAGATACTATAGTTAATTTTTAGGTGTGATGCATCCGTACCACTGTAACACCTTAAATGTGAGGGCATGTTTGTTATATTGAAAATTGCAAAGTTTGACGGAGTGCATGGGCTAGGTACATTTTTCTTCGGGGATACTGTTTGCAGGAACATAAAGTACAAACCTTCCTCTTCAATTTAAAAAAAGAAGCAAGTCGCTACCATTTTTTGTCGCAAGGACACAGTACTTTAAAGTAATCCTTGCATTATTGGCATATACCGCCGGTATTGGCATTACCCGATGTGCACTCCTGAAAAGAGCCGTTTGTGTGTGTGTGTCTGTGTCTGTGTGTGTGCGCGCGTGCGCGTGCGCGTGCGCGTGCGTGTGCGCGTGCGTGTGCGTGTGTGCGCGTGTGTGTAGAATGACTCATTTTCGGGGTGCTTGATTAAAGTGAGTCCCCTTGCATCTCACTTGTGTGTGTGTGTGTTAAAATTTAAAAAACGCGTGTTTTCTCCGCGTTGTTCAATTACTGCTTGCAGTCGATTCCTCATGTTAATGCAAGCCCTAATTTCTTCCTGTGAAATGTCATTCCAGATTTGAATTACGACTTGTGACAAGTCTTGGAGATTGACAGGTTGTCTTGCTAAATTTTTCAACCTACGACCCATTATG